AGACCACAGCCTTCAAAGACCAAAGACCCCAGCCTTCAAAGACCAAAAGAAAGGTGGACCTGGTCTTAAAAAAAAACAAAATCCGCACCGCTGGTGTTTCAATTGAACCCCGTGGCAGTTCCCCACGTCGTCCCAGGCGCATGGACGACGCGCGGCTCTTGGACCTCATCGGTTTGTTGCGGCCGGACGACCTGCCCGGGCACCGAACGAACGGCAGAGGAGGAGAGGAGGTCGGTGGTATACACGGTGCCAGTTGAATGGAACTACTCATTGGGGAGGATGAGTTGAATGGAACCTTCCAATCATAAAGCCTGGGAGTCCAAGGCTCATCAAACACTCGTCTTTCATTTAGGTGACCCGAAGAGGACTTTCCGTGACTTGGGGGGGCACAAAAGTGTTTGGGACTTCCAAGGTGAATGCATGCATTGCCGCCACACCGTGAGATTAAGCACCAAGTTCTGGCAGGATTATTGATTTTATAGTGGGTTGAGAGTAGATGGCACAAGTGCCCCCAAGTTGGGTGGTTTATATGGGCCCATCTATCTAAGACCTCTCGGGGTGCCAGTGCCACCTCTGAAACCACTGGTCCACACCATGGTCCACACCACCCGGTCGACCCGAGACCGGCACGTCTACCCCGAGGCGCTTCGAGGACCTGAAGTTCCGCTACGTCCGGGACTTGAAGCAACGCCCCGACCGGCGTGGCTTCATCACCAACGTCCTCGCTGCTTGGTGGGCTGGGTCAGTGGTCGCTGCTTGGGTCAGCTGGGCTGGAGGCCGAAAGGACCGCTTTGGTTGGAGATTTGGACCACCAACCATCTCAAAATAGGGTCTTCTTTCTCCTGGCCCTATGAATACCAGCGGTTTTCCTGGCTGGTCATGTCTGGGCTTCTGTTGAGTGGCCCAAAAGGACCTCCCAACCAGGGGGAATTCTGTCCAAAGGATTGAACACATGGAGGCCATCCCACTCAAGGGACGGCTCCATGCTGGGTCCCAGCTCTTGCTTTAGTGACTTTAGTGCCTTAATGCTTTTTTGTTTGTTCTTTTTGGATATGGACGATATGGATATGGGCCTTCCTGCAACCTTCCCTGCGTTCGGTGTCGTTCTCAACTCACCGGAAAAGGGGTCGTTGTTTGGCGAACGCGGTGGCCGGGTGTGTCCGCTCAGGAGATGGACAAGGGTGGTTTCTATTCGATGCTGAAGTTCCTTTTGGCGCAGCAGCCCTTGACCCCCTTGTGGCTGCCCAAGGCGGGGGGGGGGGCGTTTCTCCCATCGAACTCCATCGCCCCCAGCTGCGCTCAGCTCCTCCTCGCAGCGCATGAGATGCCCAGAGGGCTGGTTGAAACAGGTTGAAACGTGCAGGGGTGCTGGAGGGGGGACCTTTTTGGAGTCTTGAATGTGCGTGAAGTTTCCTCCCGCTCACCCAGAAACGAACCCATTCATGAGCTTGGCACTCACCAGCCATTTCACTGCTTTCACCAGCCGCACTGGAGCTTCGCTTCGTTCCCGATCCGCCCGACCCATGTTTGGGGCCGACCGAACCACCCCCGTCAGGCGCGGCTCTTGGACTCAGGTGCCTGGGCGGTGGAAGGTTACGAGGACCGGCGAGGGGGGGAGAGAGCGCCTGGCAGATCCCATCGAGAGACACTGGACGGGTATGAGGTGCACGGGGCGCTGCCCGCGCGCGCACGCAGGGCTGGCCCAGCCTGGTGGCAGAAAATGGACCACTGAGGTTCAGGCAGTCGATGGGGATGATCCCAACAGATCAAAACTTCCACGCTTCTGAGGGCGACACGCCCACTGAAACCTCCGAAACCACCTCATCATGAGTGCAGCCAAGGCGCCCGAAGGGGCCACCTGCCTCACCTGCCCATGCACCAAGTCCATTCACAGTGGAGATTGCTGTTGGATTTGTTCGATAGATTGTTGGTCAATTGGGAAGCATTCAGGGCCATTGCTTGTACTAGGGTGGAGGCCATCGCTATCAGGTTGGAGGCCATCGTGGTCTTCATGGATCCCACACCCCTGCCGGGCTCGGATCGGCTCGCGGCTCGGAAGCGGAGGAGCAAAAGAAAGCACCTGGAAACCCGCTGACAGAGCCCATGTTGAAATGACAGGAGCGGGTGAATGCACCGGGAGGAAGTTTTTTCTTTCTCCAATACACTTGAAACTTGTGGCTTTACGGACCCATAGGTGTTCACACAGTTTTTGAAGGTAGCAAACATACAGATCAGCATGGTATTCTGCAAACATTCCTGTATTTTATGACGTGATCACGTGATCTGTGTTTGTATACTGCATATGCTTAGCGCATGCTTTAAAATAAATTGTGCTAATGCATGTAGATATGCATAAATGCCGCACATATTTATATATACTAGACTATACATATATACCCCGCCAGCCGGAAGCTTAACTTTTCCTCGGTTATGTGGACAAACCCCGAAAATTCTTGTAAAATGGGAACAACCTTGGGTTTCCCTGGAAAACCCCGGGTATTCTCTCAATTTGCCTGCTGAGGTAAAGTTGATTGAATTCCTTTGCATGCTGAACAATCCGGGTGGTCATCCAGTTTTTTTCGTTCAATTTCGTTCCATTGCTATGTTTTGTTGACACTTTCTTGACGTTTTATTGGGAAAAGTTCAGGTGCGAGGTAGAACCCGTGATTTGCTAGTGCTGAACCCGTGATTTACCCGTGAAAATCCGTGATTTCATTGAAAAACACCGGATCTTTGAAACACCTTTATTTTTCATACCCGTGCTAAACCCGTGATTTACCCGTGCAATCCGTAAACCCGTGGAAAAAATCACGGGTTTGGAGGTCAGATGCCGAACGACTTCTGAGTGCCAAATAAACAAAATCTTCTGAACTGACACCCGTATTCTCGATACTCAAGCAAGAGATTGCCACATCAGTATGCACGTGCTCAAATCCAAAAAACGATGAAAAACGCAAACCCCGGGTTCCCAGTGAAAACCCGGGGTATTTTGGAGAATCCTAGGTTTTCTTCGGGTATTGGCTGTAAAGGTCATACAGTATATGTTTAAACAACATATATATATATATATATTATGCACATTACGCACAGCCATTAGCTAGTTTGTGAAGGAGGCCCAGAAGTCCGAGAAGCCACTTTACCGAGCAAGAGTGGTGCTGCTTGCTCGTGGAAAAAGATGAGCTTGGGGCGCCTTTGGGACCAACAATCAAGCGCTGTAAAGAGAGAATCCACGTGATGCAAACCGCACAACCTCTCCCGCAGCCATTTGTAGTTGTGTAGCCGTGTAGGCTCGGTTGTTTTTATGTTTTTTCAGGCTGCAAACATGTCCCACCACCAGTTCTGCTTCCAACAGGCGGGGCCAGGAGGTTGCCGAACGTGGACGGTTGGGAACCTCCTGTTGTTGAATGCGCGGTCATTTTGTTCGTGGATATGATGGGATTCTTTGGGCGGCCCCGCCCAGCAGAAGGACTCGGACCCCCAAAGCAAAAGGGGGGAAACGAGCCGTCGCAGCGGTCGCAGGCAGGATGCGGTGCTGTACGGAAAGCATGCGGTGCTGTTTACGGATCTTTTGATCCGTCTTTGGCGTTTCACAACTCCTCAGAGACACGTGTAGCGGCCGTGTAGCGCGACGTTTGCAAACATGGCAAGATCCCCGGGAAAAGTGGACATCTGCCACACATGGGAAAAGCCGACCATTTTGGGGAATTGGTGCCCCCACTGCAAAAGGTGGAAGCTAGCCGGTGAAGCTTCCGCGTTCGGACACCGAGGGGGTGAGCTGAACTGAAACCGTCACATGTGTGGGCGGGTGGCCCAAAATTGGGTAGGTCAGGTGGGCAGAGTAGGTGCTAGTTGTCAATCGATGTCAATCGCAGTCCACACATGTGACGGAACCAGGTTCCTCGGGGGTTCTTTCTGGGACGCAGGCCATAGGTCTACTGGACCGATCATTTTTTGCTTTAAAGTTTCCCTTTGGGGAAGAAATGCATCCAGAAACGATGTGCACTGTAGGTAGTGAACAATATGTAATATGTACTTATTGTTTTCACAGGCTTGAGGGCAGGTGATGTTCATTCCGGCAAGATCCACGAAGCCTCTTTGAGTCATCGAAAAAACGAAGAGAAACAGCCGCAGGTCGGTGGTCGTTGCAAGCCCTTGGGTGCTGGAGAGATCGTGCCAGGAATCGCGCCAGCCACCCCTGAACAGCTCCTGGGGCTGAAAGCGGTGGGTTTAAGGAGCCGAAGCAGTTTACTCAGGCAGATAGGAGATGAACAAGGCAACACAGCCATAGTTTCTTTTGGAAGGACTCGTTCTTTCCAACAAGGGAGGGATCGAGTCAACGATTTCAGGCTTCGGCGATGGGGAAGAAATAAAAGCGTGAAGTCACAAGTCTGAATATGTTCCTCAAGTCCTCTCTTTGTCAATAATGTTTATATAAGTGTAGATGTTTTGTTGCCCTTTGCCATTCCACAGCACCAACTTGGATCAGCCCCAGAACTTTGATGTATATGTGCCCCCAGTATTAACATATGCATATATAGCTTAGTCCATGCGACTCCTCAAAGAAATGCCAACCTATTACCCTGCAGGCAGTTGCCCTTCTTGCTCAGAGCTGACACAGAGGGAGCAATTTTGAGTTTGTTGGAGTGATGAAAAAGTGAACTGCAGACTGTAAACTAAAGCAGTATGGTTGACAAGTGCGGGTTTGTTTGGGAGTTGAAGAGCTTACAGACTTGCAGTGGTGAACATAAGGGCTATGATTGAGAGCAATTATGGGACGGATTGGGCGCGTGATTTTCTACAAACACATGAGTGCTTTGCAATGAGCGAGCTCCAGGGATAACCAGCTCTTTGCCAGAATTGAACTGGCTCTTGGGAGTTGTTTGGCTGAGCTAGGTCCCAGAGCTGTTTTCAGCTCAAAACATGTGAGCCATGGTTGATGTCAACATCTTGGAGATCGACTCTTCAGAAGATGAGGACATCCGTTTTATGCTTTGAGTTCAATGGAGTTCAATTGGCTCATTTGAGAGGAGCATGAATTACCGTTGCCCCGACATATCCTGGACTATCTGGATATTGGCTCACTGTTTTTGAAAGCCTCAGGCTAAAGGGTTCTGGCTGTGCTTTTAGGAATGTGCTGAGTACAACGCAAATTTATTCCATCCCATTTTTCTATCCCGCAGGTCTCGCAGCTTGGTTTTCCTCCTGGCCTGGTCGGGTATTCACCTACGCCAGTGATTGCAGCCAAGCTGCGTTGGTGAAACACAGCATGCTTACACTAAAAGTGCATCCCGCCAAGTAGCAGACTTTGAGGCAGTGGTGCGGATGCTCCACTATGGGGTCTCACTATGCTGCTGGAGGCTTGTGGAAAGATCGGTGCCCTCAAACACTTGTCCGAGTCTTATTGCCACGAATTATTATCGAGTTTCATCCAATGGAACATAAAAAAGTTACAACCAAAAGCACCCCCCAAATTCCCTGCATACTTCAAGGAGTGCATCTGAGCTGGATGCAAACAAGTTCAAGCTGCTTGTGAAGAATTTCCCTGAGTGCCACCAGCGGCTTGTCGCCATTATACTCGGAATTGTGCTACATTGTGCTACTATTAGGTTTGTGTTCCACTTGCCTGCTGGGCAAAGGTTCCGAAGGGATGTCACCAAAGAGCGCTTGGGCAGGGATCTACAGGAGAAGGCCAGAGAGAAAGTTTGGCTTGACTCATATGCAACAGTTTGAAGAACCTTTACTGCATTTAATTTTGCTGACAGGTGATGATATATACGGCGGGTTTTCCCTGCCAGCCGTATAGTCTTTTGAGCAATACCAGACATCAACTTCAAGATCCCAACGCCACACAGCTGTGGGCGGTGTTGGGCAATATCAAGGCCGTACGTCCCATGGATGCTCACCTGAAAATGACAATATTGTGAAGAGTGAATGGAACACATGTGCATTCACCCTGCAATGAAACTTAGTTCATGTTCATGATAGCTAGAAGAGCATAAACCCGTGATTTCCATAGCTCAGATTTGCATCCTGGAGAACGTGTTGGGCTTTTCATCTTGCGTGGACGTTCTGGTTGCTGTGATTGAGAAGAACCTGCCTGAGTATCCTGCTTGCAAGGGCAGGCAGCATCAAATTTGCATTTACCCAGAGAGTTTGCCTCTAAGGTATTCAGTGGCGTTTGTCGTCATGTGCCCGTATCTAGTTTGCAAATAGTGGCGCTCTGGATGTTTACCCTACATGTTTTGCACCAAAGCCTTCAAACATGTTTGGCAGATGTTGGTCGTGCTCAGGCGCCACTATTCTGCCCCTATTTCACGACGGAGATTGTACATATTCCTCGTTCGTCAAGATGTAATGACTGCTGAATGCTTGAGTCAAGACTTTGAGGGTTTCATGTGCCAAAAAATGAAGGCCATGAACCGTGCAGTCCGTGGTATGGCAGTGAAGCACAAGTGGCTTCTTGGCCAAAGGGGTTCCCGCATGTTCAAACTCAACTTGTGCGCAATCACTTACTAGTAAGCAATTTTTGCACATGACCCCAGGGGTGACTTGCTTCTACCAGCGACCCATCCTGTCGTTCTTCGTGACAAAGCGGCTCGAATAGAAGCCCGGAAGCGCAATGCAACCAAGCTACTTGGTTGCGTTCAATGATTAAATTTGGCACTTGTTGAGACTGAACCCGTGCATTCTTTGAGTTTGCCTGGGTTTCTTGGTTTGTGTTGGTTGGCTGGACCCAGGAAAGTTAACACCAAGCAGAAATGGATCAAGCAACATGTGGACTGGGCCAAGGAAAACGAGGTTGGTCAACTTTTTGCAAGCAATTTATTGGGTGCATGGTTTTACACACACACAGTTTGTTGAATGGTATACCGGTTTACCATCACCTGTGGCGGAGGTTTGCCTGAAGAAGAGCAACAAATGCTTTCGTGAACTTCACCCAGAAGCAGCCAATTTGATTTCTGTGGCAAGGGAAATGCATGCCATGGACCTTCTAACCTACTACTGTGAGAAGTCTGGCAAGAAGGTAGCGTGCGTGAATACATCGCAGAGTCTCCACTGTATGCCCCACATTGCTTCGCACAATGATCCCTTACCATGCCTTACGTGAGGGACTGAGGGTAACAAATGTCCAAACCTGGAACCCCAGCAAATGTTTTTATATATTTGCACCTTACCGAGGCCCCATGGCAAATTCTTGGTCATCTTTGAGGACCACAAAGAGCAGTCCCGGTTCCTAACTGGGAGGGATTTACTCCTGTTGATGGGCTTCCCGATCCATCGAATGGCTGGCCTTGATGATACAGCTGATAGCGTACTTAGCAACAACTGGTCTTTTTTGAAAACATGAATGCCAAACTTGGGTCTTGGGGTGAACACCTCGGCTGAGCTCAGGTATTACATTCACTTGGCGGAAATGCTATGAACGTGAGGGTCGCGCTGGCTTCGATATGTTTGGCCTTGAGCTGCATTGATCCACAGAAGTTTGTGGTGCAGTGGGGGTAGCAGGGTCGTGCTGCAGCAACTCGAGAAATTCAGAATTAAAAAGCCCCTACACCTCGACCTGAGTATGTTTGATCTTGTGCACCATGATGCAACCCAGGTATCATGGCAAGGTGGTGGGTCAATTGATTGTTCAATGCATATCACTGCAGTCATTTGGCGGGTCTTCCAGATAGTTCACAAGCCAAACCCAGCGAATGTTTGGTGACAGTCCCACAATACACTATTGTTACTTAAATGTTTTTGTGAGTTTAACCACATCGATGTTTCAAAATTAACCAAAAACTCCTTTCTGTAGTGCCATGCCGGTTCTTCGTCGGTGGGATTCTGGCGAATCGGATGTGAATGTTGGACCCTGCCGATATGACCCTACCAGTTCTTCCAGTTCTGCATCTCCGGAGATACTTTGTTGCAATCAACTGCTCATGCTGTTATACCATAGTGGAACCCCACAGCTCATGGCAAGTCACACAACCGGAGAGCAGCCAGGAACTCTGATGATGGTGACAGCGGCTCCGAAGATTCTGATACAAACAGTGACCCCGGCTCTGATGATTCCATGACTGGTGGCCCGCGAACGGTGGATTTAACCCTGGAGCGATTGCAGTCGTTGCAGAACAGCTATGGGGATTGCTCGGAATCAGCGTATGCACAAACAGGATGTTCCAAAGAACGGGTAGCTGAAGCTCTCCGCAACCCTAGTTGCCCGTGCAGATGTCAGGTTCCCAGGGGAATCCTTCTAAGAATTGTCTCAACGTTTTGGTCTTTGACCAAGAGCTTACAAGATTCCCTGCTTTGGAGTTTACATCATGAATCTGGTGGAAGAGGATGCAAGAGAAGACAATGGTATATCCAAGGAACGGAGTTTCAAAGCAAACCACTGTTTAAATCTCAGTTGAAAAGACTTTGCGTGTTGTTCCCGGAACTGCACACAGGCCACTATGTCTGCAAGTCTGCATTTCTGAGCCTGAGGATTGGGAAGCGCAGGATGGCCCGGTGCAAGAAGGTTTTCAAGGGGACAGACCTTCGTACCCTGAGTGGTCCCGGTGGAGTCTTTGACTTAACCATGTTGGACCTTAACGTTTTGGTGTTTCCTCGAAATGGCTCTACTTTGGGGGTTCCCAAACTTTGGGTTCTCAATAAGAGCCAGTGCCAGTGTGAAACGCATCACGGTCAATCAGTGCGCTCCTCAGGGCCTCGTGGCGCGCCATCAATCAAGAGTGACTCCGTACATGCATTCTTGCAGCACATGTATTTCACAGCTTCTGAACCTATGCCAACAGCGTGACTTACCGGCAGCAAGTGTACATGGTAGCTAGAAAAACTTATGTACTGATCCACGAACTTGGACTGCATCAAGGATAGCGTCCAACACCATTCTCAGCAATTCGGACGAAGTTCTGCGACAAGAGCTTCTGGACCGTCTTATCGATGCCCGTGTTCTGGGTCCCACGCTTCAACTCTCGTGCAGTCATGATCCTCACAGACTGCCAATGAAGGAACTCCCCCACAACTGCTGGATGAACATGTTTCTCATGTATCAGGCTTATGCCAAGTCTAAGGGGGAAACCCCTGCAGGGAAAAGCACATTTTTCAGTGTCGCTAATGAATGGAAGGTGTGTATCAGATTCCATCGGAAAACCCACCACCGAATCTGTTTAACGTGCAGCAGACTGAAGAGCGCAATTCGGAGCACTGATGT